CACTAGCTTCTTCCTCAGCTATCTTCTTTAGCATTTTATTGCAACCCATGGTACTTTGCAGGGAAAGTGTATAAAAGTTTCCCTGGCCTTTGTTTCGGGGCCACTCCCCGCTGTTTCTGCTTTTCTCATGGGAGTGACCCAAGCATATGCTTGATAAAAATAAACTCCTTGGTTTTTCCATGTGTGAGTATGGACTCTCAGTGGTAATTAGTTTTGGCCTTAACAGATGTCAAGTCAAGGAGAGGTGGACGTGGTAGATTTGTAATGTGCAGATTTTGCTAAGCTGGATATCTATGGCCAAGAATTCCCATCCCTGCTTAGTTCTAGGTCAGGTGGGGCCACCAGAGCATCTGGAAGGTGGAATCCAGGTGGCTGCCTAATTCCCTTGTACCCTGGGAAGGGCAGGGCGGGACCAAGGGCCCGTTTACAGCTCAGGTATCTTGTCATCTACCTGCTGACAGACCTGTTGGCGTGCGTGGGGTGCAGGCTAGCTTGCAGCGACCGCAGCTCCTGCCTGATTTTTCCTCAGCTTCCCCTAAGCTTGGGGGTGATGGGTGTTTCGCTTCTTGAGGAAGAGCATCTCCTGCGGGTTACTCCTAACATTAGGGTTGGAAGTCTGGAAGCGACGACAAACGCGAGCAGGTTCTCGCCCTTCTCTCCGTGTAGGTTTGGCCCATCCAGCGTGTCCGCAGAGCCGCCGCGCGCGATTCCAGCCAGGCTGTGCCGCATCCGGCCGGGTCTGAGCCCTTCAGGAGCGCCCGTGTAGGAGTCGAATTTGGGAGATGAAGCTCTAACAAAGAAAGCAGTGGGCACAGCTATGTGAAACCTTTAGTCAGGAAACCCCCAAAGCATGTAATTGTGAAACTAGCACGTTCCCCTAAAGCCTGTGGTGAGACCAAGGCTGAATGACAGGTGGCTCTCGGAACCCTGGGAACAGATTTTCACAGAGAGGAGCAAGAGGGGGGCCAGCCAGGAGTCAAGGTAAATCACAAGGCTCTCCCCAGCCACGGACAGCTCACTGTCGAGAGGGAAAGAAAAACAGTAAAAACTCAGAATATTCCCTGTACTGAAAGCCAATAGGATTCCCGCTTCTCCGACAGCAAAAAAAGGCAGACGGGACCTTAATGCGACGGAACAAAATCGACAACGGTTTTGGTTCCTGTGGTTTCCATCTTGGCAAGGACATCCCCCGCTGCTGGAACGAGCAAATAGCCCGCGGGACAGAAATTCCTACGCTGCTTCAGTAACACGAGCAGCCCGGGCGTCGGGGTTGGTTTGCTTCCGGCCGGCCCGCATCACTACAGCCCCTACTCCCCGCGCGTTCTGCGACCGGTATCAGCAGCAACCAGAAAAACAGGGAACACCGTCGTCTTTCCCACCAGGATCCCGCCCCGCTACAGAATTTGTGCACAGCCCTAAAACACAAATAGTAGAACAACTTCTGAAGGAAACAAAACTCCTATCCTTCACTAACAGAAAACCTAAAAACCCAGCACATTACAAATTATTCAGCTTGCAAGAAAAAATTGCATAACTACTCAAAACAACTGAGACCACCTTACCCCGTAATAAACCTACATATAAACACATCCCCTGAAAAGTGAGTCTCTCAAGCACGACAAACGAAAAACAACCGCAATAGCGAAACCAACACCAGATAAACCACCTATCTTTAAACCAAGCACAACCCAGGGGAAAGCGCGAACGCAGTCCCCCACTACCACAAATTATGCAGTCGAGTTTCCCACATTTGGGGAAATCGCAGGGGTCAGCACATCCGGAGTGCAATGGATAAGCCTCGCCCTGGGAAAACCACCTTCGTGATCATGGTATCTCCCCTGCCAGGTAAGTATGAGTTGCTGGCCTGCCGCACCCGCACATCCTCACACGCCTCACACTCTAAACACACGGTCACTTGCCTCCGCGCACTTCCCCGACTGTCCTGCCACTTCCACACGCTCAGTACACTCGCCTCCCACAAGCGGTCCCGAAATCGCTCTCACACCACGCGAACCCTATCGCATTTCGGCGGCAGGCCCCTACGCGCCACAGCCCCCGTGCCGCCTCATCTGCATAGAGCACGCCCTATCCCTGACGTCACGCGCCGCGCCCTTCCCTGCAGCCCCAGCCGGGTCCCCGCTCCGCTCCGCGGACCCACCCCCACGCCACCTACCGGACCAACCAGCGCTCGGACGGCCGGTGGGGGAAGTGACGTCGGCCTCGCGCTCCTGGCATCCCACCCCACCCGCTGGGGCGCTGCGCTGGATCCCCCCGCCTGGTCTTTCCCACTGGAGCGAGGTTTTAAACTGTGTCCGCCCCCGGGGAACCCTCTCGGGACCTTTTTGAAATAATGGCTTTCCGTGTGCGTACACTGGAACGTCTGTGAAACGTGACAAAGGGAAGGGGTTCCTTCCAAATACGGTTATCTTCGTTGTGGCTTTCCGGAGAGAAGCCTCAAGTATGAAACTGGAGAGGATGGATGCTCAGGTGACTGCAAGCGGTCCCCCACAGTGGTTTTTACCACTAGGGGTGTTAGACTGTTGTCTACTCTGATTTCACGGCTCCTGTAGGATTGGGCTTTCTTTTTCTTTTATGTTTTTTGTTTGTTTTCTGTTTTTGTTTTGGCAAATACAGCATTGTGCAATACTGCTGCCCCAGCAGACATGATTGGCCAGCTCTCAGGCGCAGTGTGGGACTCTGTCATCGCACCCACTCCAGACTGTAAAGGACCTGGCGGAACCAGGAGTCAAACACTCCTCTTTCTGTTTTTCCAGCTATTGGTTTATTTGTGGCCCAGAGTCAGGATGACTTTCACCCGCCAGAACCAGGGGAGGACTGGCGGATGTTACTGTTTTGAAAGTAGTTAGGTTATTAAGTAACTTTTACAGCTAGTAGATTATTAACAATGAAGGAATAGTTGAGATGTATTCTTAAAAAGAAATACAGAAACAAAGAAGTGTATCAGACAAATGGATGAATCTCGTAGACGATAGTTGAGTGAAAGAATTCAATCGCATGCCTCTCCCCTCCTCCAAAAACCTAACTACTACACACTTCATGTTTCAATTTATATGAAAATAAAGGCAGGGAAACTAACTACTCTGATTAAGTTGGAGGGGGGCAGTGGAAATTTATTTATTTGTCCTTTTAAAATTAATTTTTCTTATACATGTGTATATTAGGTTTCCACTTTTGCCTTCACAGAATTAAAAGGCTAAATTTAATGACAATAACAATATTTAACATAAGGACTGAGAATAAAAACCTCATAAAGAACAAATGAAATACATTCAGAAAAGAAATCACGATTGCTGCAACAAAATGTTATTTTTGTTATAATTTTTGAAACTTATTATTTTAACTTATTTCTTTCATTTTTTTGAAAGAATAAACTAGATTATTAAGTAACTTTACAGAAAGGCCGGGGAGGATGACGTTTGTTTCCTTAGAAGACCGTACTACCTGAGAGATTAAGGACCCAAATGAGAGATTATTCCCAGATGTGAACACAAGAAATCGGAGTCAATGTTCTGCGTGGGCAACGTGGCCTTTATTTCACTGGGGTGCGAACCGGCTGAATCCGAAAAAGAAGTAAGCACATGGGTTAAGGTGGATGGGAATACAAGAGTTTTCAGGGTAGGGATTGGCCTCTCATTCCTTCTTGAGCAGGACGTTTCTAGTTGAGGGGGTCCTTACATTCGGCTCTATCAGTACCTAGTGTTAGCACTGTATAGCCTGCAAAAAAAGAAACAAATTTGAATTTGACAAAAATATATCAGGGAAAAAAAATTTTTTTTTTGAGAATCTATCATTATGTCGCCCTTGGTAGAGTGCTGTGGCATCACAGCTCACAGCAACCTCTAACTCTTGGGCTCAAGCAATTCTCTTTCCTCAGCCTCCCAAGTAGTTAGGACTACAGGCACCTGCCACAATGCCTGGCTATTTTTTGGTTGTAGTTGTCATTGTTGTTTGGGAGGCCCAGGCTGGATTCGAACCCGCCAGCTCTGGTGTATGTGGCTGGTGCCCTAGCCACTGGGCTACAGGCACCGAGCCATCTTGGGGGAATTTTATTAGATGGCTTTTAGTGCATAGAATATAACCCTGAACTCTGACAACAGTCCACAGATAGTTTCCACTGCCCCCCTCTAACTTTATCAGACTAGGCTAGTTTCCCTGCCTTTATTTTCATATAAATTGAAACATGAAGTGTGTAGTAGTGAGTTTTTTGGAGGAGGGGAGAGGCATAAGATTGAATTCTTTCAGTCAATGATACATCTATGAGATTGATCCATTTATTTGATATAGTTCTTTTTGTATGTATATATTTCTTTGTAAGAATACATCTCAACTTGTTTATTCTTTCATTGTTTCAGAAACAGAATCTGGCTCTGTCACCCAGGCTGGGTGGCTCATCACAGTTCACAATCACCTGAACTCTGGAGCTCAAGACATCCTCCTGCCTCAGCCCCTCAAGTATCTGGACTATATGCATGAGCTGGGGCACTGGCGGTAGCAACGTTTTTCTATGTGTCTTTTGTAAAATATATTCACACATTTCTCTAGGGCAGTGCATTCCATTAGAAACAGAATGCCATGGCTCAGCACCCATAGCTCCGTGGTTAGGGCACCAGGCACATGCACTGGGGCTGGTGGGTTCAAATCTGGCCTGGGCCTGCTAAGCAACAGTGACAACAACAAAAAAAAGCAGCTGCAAGTTGTGGCAGGCGCTTGTAGTCCCAGCTACTTGGGAGGCTGAGGCAAGAGAATCACAAGAGTTTGAGGTTGCTAAGCTGTAACACCACAGCACTCTACTGAGGATAACATAGTGAGACTTTGTCTCAAAAGAAAAAAAAAATAAAGAAAAGAAAAAGAAACAGAATACCAGCCACGTATGTGCTTTTTAATTATCTATAGACACATTTTAGAAAGTAAAAAGTGAATTTTATTTAGAGATTTTATCACTCAACATGCATAACTTGAATTCAATAGACTTTTGTTGCTTATAAAACAGATTTTTAAAAAATTGTTAATGTTATATCAACAATTTGGGTGACAAATGAAAACTGATTCAAGTAAGTTTGGCTATCACACTACGTATATTAGCTTTCTAATTCTATAAAATGATTACCTTTTACAGTTTGTAGTCTGACATTACCTCAGTGCCATTTATAAAGAACAATTTTCTTTTTTTTTATTATTAAATCATAGCTGTGTACATTAATGCAATCACAGGGTACAGTGTGGTGTTTTCATATACAATTTGAAATACTCTCACCAAACTGGTTAACGTAGCCGTCATGTCATTTTCTTAGTTATTGAGTTAAGACATTCATACTCTGCTTTTAGAACTATTCACTTGTACCCTTGTAAGATAAACCATAGAGGTGACCCCACCAATCACCCTCCCGCCACCCATCTACCCCGTCCCCTCCGTCCTCCCTCCCCCCTTCCCATATTCTAAGGCTATAACTAGGTTATAGTTTTCCTATGAAAGCTATAAATTAGTTTCAAAACAGGGCTGTGTACATTGGATACTTTTTCTTCCATTCTTGAGATAATTTGCTAAGAAGAACATTTTCCAGCTCCATCCATGTAAACATGAAGGAGGTAAAGTCTCCATCTTTCTTTAGGGCTGCATAATATTCCATGGTATACATATACCACAATTTATTGATCCAAGGAACAATTTTCCAGCAGTACATTTGAAGCACTTTTTAGTAACATGAAAGTATAAATTTCAACCATATGTGAAAGCTCATCATGTTAAATTGTTTATGTACTTTTTTGGAGCTAGTTTTTAAATTTTAGATTGTATGGCCACCTATCTTAAGTGTACAGTTAATAATGAGCTTATCAATGACTGTATGAGGCCTTACAGTTTTCAATAATTTTTTATGTAAACATCATGCAATAAAAGAAACTAATGTTTGGCATCCTTCAAAAAAAAAATAATTCTATCAAACTCATAAACAACCAGGGAGGCTTATGACCATTTTCTTTATAAAAGTCTCATGACATACAGTAGATTAAGTTTTAACTTTAAAATTTAGGCTCTTGGTGCCAGAAGTTGAGAAACAAAGGAACATATGTTCCATTCCCTTGCAGTCAAAGATCAATAAGGTTACACAACATGAATAATCATCTTAACACTTAGTTTTCAGTGACAACTAACTTGGGACCCAATCTGCTGTGTTTGAAGGCTTTTATTTTCCTCTTTCCTTTTTACTCAATAAATAAATTTCCCTACTCGTTCTTAATAAACTTCTGTTTCACATGCCATCTCTCTCAGACTCTGAATTCATTCTTTGACTTCACGAGACAAAAACATGGTAAACACAAAGTTCCCAAAAGTCAAAAGAACCTACAGCACCAGCAACATACCCACATCATATAGAAATACATGTAAAAATATATTATTTATATATACACATATACATACATATATATATATGTCAACACCATTTTTCAAGGAAGATAATGGGGGCAATCTAAAGGCTATCAAGATCTTATTAACTCCATTTGATATGGGTCTAAAGTTAAAAGCATATCTCCAAAAGCATAAATTGAGCTGACATAATAGAGAATGATGGCACCATGTATTAGGTGACATCTAGAAGTTAAATTATAAGTGAAGTAATTGGTGGTTTCTAGAAGTATATTTATTAGTCCTCTTTTAAAAATATTATCTTCTATGTTTAATTGACTGGAACCTTTATTTTCCTTCCTTTCTTCCTTCCTCCCTTCCTCCCTCCTGTTCTCCCTTACTTTGCTCCCTCCCTCCCTTCCCTTTTCCCCTCCCTCCTTCCCTTCCTTTCTTTCTTGACACATAGTCTCACTCTTTTGCCCCCAGTAGAGTACTGTGGCATCATTATAGCTCACAGGAACCTCAACTCTTGGGCTCAACTCTTACCTCAGCCTCCTGAGACAGAGGTCTTCCTTTTGCTCAGGCTGGTCCAACTTCTGAGCTCAAGCAATCCACTTGCCTCAGCCTCCCAGAGTGCTGGGATTACAGGCATGAGCCTGTAAGCCTGGCTTCCAACCAAGGTTTCTGATAAAACAGGAGGCAGTAGAGGAGTGGGCCAAAAGCAGCTAGAACCAGATGGCCACAAAAAATGACATCTGGTTACTACCTTCACTGCTCATTATGAACCTATCCTTAGACATTAATGAAGGGGTGCACGGTGAGAACTAGAATAAGGCCTCCAAAACTCTGTGAAGGACTAGGCCTAGCTAAAATAATGGTAATAATCAGCCACTGTCCCTTTGTTTGCTTGATAATAGTCACCGTCCCCTTGTTTGCCTCTGTATAATTGCTACTTTATAGGGCACAGATGGTAGCCATAAAGATTTTAACTTTTCTCCATCAATAACATAACCTGATTGGACCTAGGGGTAGTTTTTAAGGTATCCTCCAGGTCCTGCATTCCAATGGCTTGGGTGACCCACCCAGACAGTCCATACCAAAGGACTAGGGTAAGGGCCCTGGGTGGCTGCCATCTTCAGTTGGGAATGGGGTCGCTATGGAGTGGTGGCCCCTCTATTATCCATAGCAGATGTCTCCGCTGGAGACTGGAAAGTCTGGGCACTGGAGCGTATCACAGTAATGGATACCATGGCTAGTCCAGGGAAGGATAACTATAGAATGAAAAGTTATAAGAATAAAGCCCTGAATCCTCAAGAGATGCGTAGACACAGAGAAAAAGAAGGAATACAGCTTGGAAAACAAAAAAGGGAAGAACAGTTGTTGAAACACAGAAATGTCTCTTTACCCAGAAATAATGAGTCTATGCTAGAATGTCCTATACAGAATCCGGATATCAGTTCCACTGTACCCACTCCAGAGGAAGAAGTCATTACTACAGATACGGTTCAGATGATTTTTTCTAATAATGCTGATCAATGGCTAACAGCAACACAGAAATTTAGAAAGCTGCTTTCTAAAGAATCTAATCCGCCAATTGATCAAGTTATACAGAAACCAGGAGTCATACAGAGATTTGTGAAATTTCTTGAAAGAAATGAAAACTGTACTCCACAATTTGAAGCTGCATGGGCATTGACTAAGATAGCATCCAGAACTTTTCTGCATACCAAGGTAGTGATTGAAACTGGGGCTGTTCCAATTTTTGTCAAACTTAATTCTGAATATGAAGATCTTCAAGAACAGGCGGTTTGGGCACTTGGTAATATTGCAGATGACGACAATGCAGAATGCAGAGATTTTGTATTGAATTGTGAAATACTTCCACCTCATTAAGAGTTCTTAAAAAATTCTAATAGACTTACAACAAGAAGAAATGCTGTGTGGACCCTCTCAAATTTATGTAGAGGCAACAACCCTCCTCCAAACTTTAGTAAGGTTTCACCTTGTTTAAATGTTCTGTCACGATTATTGTTTAGCAGTGACTCAGATGTGTTAGCAGATGTGTGTTGGGCCCTCTCTTATCTCTCCAATAGACCCAATTATCAAATTCAAGCAGTCATTGATTCTGGAGTATGTTGAAGATTGGTGAAACTTTTGATACACAATGATTATAAAGTTGCATCACCTGCCTTACGGGCAGTTGGTAATATTGTGGCTGGTGATGATATTCAGACACAGGTAATTTTGAATGGTTCTGCATTACCCCGTCTCTTACATTTATTGAGTAGCCCAAAAGAGTGAATTAGAAAAGAAGCTTGCTGGACAGTTTCTAACATCACTGCTGGAAATAGAGCTCAGATTCAGGCAGTTA